AACAAAGCCGCAATAAACATGGGTGTGCATATATCTCCTTGGATGCCATTTATGGTCTCTTTTAGGGTCTATTCCCAGTAGTGGAATTGCTGAGTCAAATGGTATCTCTCTATATATTGTTATTTTTGATTGCTGTCAAATTGAGAACAACTTATAGTGACCCAAAGAGAAAAAAGGCTTGAAGCTTTTCTATAACTATCATCATATTACAAAGTTCATAGTTTCCAGAGGCATGTTGTTTACGAAGTGGATGTCACTTCTGCTTCCAAACCTATATTAAACTGAAAGCTCCATCCAATACTGTCCACCATGGGTAACCATTCCATTTTGGCATTTGATACCCCAATGGCTCAAGTTTCAGCATCACATCAACCCCAGGTAACCCTCAATACAACATGTTCACAGAAGAATGCTGCAGCACTTAGAAGAATGTCCTTCAAATTGTCTTATATAGGTCATGTAACCCTGGTATGTCCACTTGCTGTACAGAGGTAACTCATGGTTGTTGTGAAGCTGAACACTGTGACACTGATGAGTCAAATGTGAGAATGGTTACCCATGGCGGACAGTGTTTTGTGAAGCTCCCCAATTAAAATAAGCTTGGAAGCAGAAGTGACATCCACCTCCCCAATAACTTGTCTCTTGAAACCCTTTGAACCTAGAGAAAGGATGAAAGTTACACAGGAGGTGCCCAGGACTTTCATTCACAGTATCACTGTGAGTCATCTGCAACTGGACAGCACTTAACAATACAACAACAACATATGTAAAATGTAGCTGCATATTAAAATAACAGGATTATTCAATGTTGATATTGTCCTTTTTTAACATCACTGAAAATGGTCTTCAATGTACGATGGACGTGAGGATGGAGATAAAGGAAAGTAAGTTCAAAATATTGTAAGATCAGATAGCTTTTTAAGAATACTTTCCAGGGAAACTCTGGTGGCCTAATGGCAAGAAGCTGCACTGCAATCCCAGAGATATGTGGTTTGAATCCACCAGATGCTGTGCCAGAGAAGGAGGGGCCATCTCCTCCTGTACCAGTCAGATCCAATTTGACGGTACACACACACAAAATAATAAAATAAAAATTTTAAAAAAGGAATACTTTCCCTCTCCCTATAATCTGGAAGTACAACACAGGCAAGTTTGAATGTTTTCTCTAGCCCATTTATTTACTCTAAAGATGTTCTGCCCACGAAATGCCTCTCAAAGGATATCCAGTCACATGAATGAAAATTCAAGAACATTTATTAAATCCCACATGTGGAGACTTTCTCCCTCAGTAGGAAGGTGGCGAGGGAAAAAGCCCCAAGTCTCCCTTCACAATTGCTTTTATGACTTTCCTGGGTGCCACTGTCTGGATGGGGAGATTGGGTCAGGGTATCAGTCATGACAGGCTGGCTACTTTACCCGCCTTTACTCTTTTTGTGTCACATAGACACTAGTTAATTCTTTACTTTGCAAGGACAGATAAGACTTTACCCAGGGCATTTGTGTTTGCCTTAAGCTAAGAATTTATTTTATTTTTTTATTTTTTTT